GGAACCACGCACTTGGCCCGCATCTGCTTTCACTCGAGCTTGGCCTCTACCTAGTAACACCCAGCAGGGGCACGCCGTGACATGCAAAAGTTGCCGTTGCAGCGCCTCCTGCCGTCGTCGTGCCCGTCCAGCCCTGGCCCGCCCGCCTCGGCCTCCAGGGCCCCCTGCAGCACGAGCCTGGCCCGCCCCCCTGTCACTTCGAGAGCAAAAGGAAAACTGCCGCCACAGGTCGCCCGCACAACGCTGCCCGCCCGACGTTCTCTCGACGATGGACGCGTCGCGCGCGGCATCCGTCCAAATGCGTTCGCATTGGCCCCATAGTCTCCGCAACACGTCGAGCCAACGCCCCTCGTCGACACCGCCTGGTTCACCCGCGCACCGGCGCCTGCCCAACTCCCGCTCGCCACACGGGGGCCGTCGACATAGGTCAGCCCCGAACACCGCAACGCTGTGGCCCACCGCCGCCCCCCCATCAAACACCCGAGCGCGTACTTCGCAGTTGCGCGCCACAGCGCAGTCGATGCACCACGAAGTGCTCCATCTCGCAGGCAGGGGGGTGCCCTGCCCATCGCGTACCATCACGCGGTGGCAATGTTCCCTCGGCACAGGCACTTCCGCCGGCTCCGCGCGCCAAGCCACCCAAGAAACCACGCCGCCTGCACTCGCGCAGCCACTGACAGCACGCATCACACGGTCCACCTTCGCCACAGGCGCCTTCCATAGATAGAACGCATCCACGCACTCCACCAACGCAACCAGAACCAGACCATGAGCCCCAACTTCCTGCAAGCGGCGCCGCGACCGTAGAGCGCGCCCCACCAGCGCGCCCACGCCGCCCCGCGACCCGCAAGGGCCAGGATTACCCAGCACATGGCATGCCCGTCAACCGCCGCCGCGCGCCGCATCGCAAAACGACCGCACCGTAGAACCAGCAAGGCCGGCCCCCCGCAGCCGCGCCCCAGCCTCGCTCCGAACACTGCAGGACCACATCGCGTACGGCAGCGGCCGCCGGGCATTCGGGGCCGCGGCCGCGCCCACACAGTCCCCCGCGCCCGCGTCGCTCGCCGCGCCGCCTCGGAAACAGCGCAAACAAAGCGGGCGCGCTCCAGGGGCGCCCCCCCTGCCCCGTCAGCGCGCCCAGGCGTCGCGGCGCCCTTCCACTCGGAATCGATTCCGCATCGCCCCCCGCCCACGGCAAGCCGCCGTCTGGTCCTGCTTAGCGCAAGCCCGACCGTGCACCTCCTCCATGCGTCGCTTCCTTTTCGTCTGCCACTCCACATCTGCGATCCGCGAGGGCCACTTGCCACGCTCCGGGGATTGGCACTTCCGCTGGCCACTCTGGCCCCAGGGAGGCTCGAGTCATCTCTCGGCCGCGATGCGCACGCAGCAATGCGCTGACGGAAATGGATCTGAGCCGCTGGCACTCCTGGGAGCACTCGCGCAAGATGTTTGCACCGTTTCTAAATCACCGCCGCTGGCCGTCGGCCCTCGAATCCGCAACGTAGCCGCAGCGCACGGGCGCCGGGCCACCGCTCGGGCCAGGGGCAAGAACTGCCGCCGCGGCGCGTGAAAGGCCCTGCGCCACTTCTCACGGTTAGTAATCGTCGGCGCCGGCCCCGAAGGCCCTGGGCCCAGCGAGACCTGCGCCACGTCTGCCGCGACGCTGGCCTCGTCCAGCACAGCCGCGCGAATTGCTGCAACCGACGCTGGCCCCTTCTGCGACCTCTCCGGCCCACGGGAAGCCACAGCAGGCGCGGCCTCCACTGGCCCGGGCGGCGTCTCGGCACGCAGTCCGGTTCTCGCCCGCCCGGCTGCAAAGGAAGCGGCGGTCTCGGCGCCCCAGCCGCGGAGGCTCGCGGTCCCTCTCCCGCGCCCGCCGCCCACGCTTGCCGCCCCTAGCCCGCCGCAAACAAGACCCCTCCCACCAACGCCGTGCACGCTGCCGTCGTCGCGTCGTCGCACCTGCACGTCGCTGTCGTCGCAAACACCGTTGTCGCGTCGTCGTACCTGCGCGCCGCACTCGTCACACATGCCCCCAGACGCGTCGCGCTGGTGCACCTGCACACCGCCGTCGTCACTAAATCGTTCCCAGATCCACCCGTCGAGCCCCTGGTCGCTGGCACCTCCGCTTAGTCGTTCTGGCGGGGCGTCTGCCGTTGGAGGGTCGGCCCACTCCATTGGCCAATCCAACTGACCCGCCGGTCGCCGGAACGCGGTGCGGTGCCAGTCCTTCAACCGAAGTGGCACTGGATGGACTGCGCGCCTTGTCCCGCCTCCTAAGTTGATCTGGCGCGCCAGGCGGATAAAAAGCCCAACGTTTGATCCACTTCGCATCCTTCCAGAAAAAACGGATAATTTTCCCAGGGTGGAGGGCGCAGGGTGAAACCCACGGGCTTTTGCACGTCGAAAACCAATACGTCTTGTGATTCACCTCTTGCAGATTCAAGCCTCGAACATCCATCGAAACGGCATGTCTGATTTCACCCCTTGCCCTCCACCCAAAGAAAATGCTCGGAAAAAGTGGCAGGCCTTCGTTCCGCCCTGGCGGACCAGGCTGCGAGGGCGCACTCGCCGGCCCAACTGCCAGGTCTTGCTGCGGCGTCAACCCACGCCGCGCACGCCGCAGGCGCGGGGCCGCCCTCGAAGCGCGGCGTGGTCGCCAGGTCTGGCTGCCACACGCCTTTCCAGAGGTCGCGCTTGCGGATGAGCGCCAAGTCGGGCGCGTCCCCCCATAAGGGGCATTTTGGGCGAAGAATGAAAAATGTCCGAATAATACCCCCCGACTGGGCAAAAATGGTTAGAAAATCGTCCTTGGACTATTTGTTGGTTATTTTTGAATTTTCCCCCTGTAGAAGGACAGGCCCAAGTGAAGATGAGCGCCGTCGTTTCTGCTTTCATTTTTGCCCCCAACGTCGCCCTGTTGTCGTTGATGGTGGCTTCTCCTCTCTCCTTCCAAGATTGCCCCAGCGGCTCCGGCTGCGCGGCAGGCGCCAAAAGCCGGAGCCGCCGTGGTCCCATACCGCGTAGCCGAAAACCGCGTCGGACCGTAGTTGCTTGCGATCTCCACCCCCCTGCCCGTCGGCAGCCCGCCTGTCGCCCTCCCTGACCTGGGAGCCGGAAGATTCGACCTGCGTCGGCGCGGCCGCACCATCTCCATCAGGCGGTTCCATCTGCAAATCGTCGGCTGCTTCCCCCGCCGACCCTGCACCAGGCGATTTGCCGCTGCGTTGCTGTGCAAAGTCGTTCCGTGCTGCTCCCGGTCGTGCCCGTTGAGGTTTTGATTACATGTTTTCTGGCCGTCCGCGGTCCTTGGTAGCCGTGATGTTGATGCCTCCCTTGGTGAGGTACAGTACGCAGTCGGTCACCTCAACGGGGGCACGCACGCACTCGGAACACGAAGCCCCGTCGACCCCAGCGCGGGTGCGTGAGCACGATGTCCGACCAGTCCTGCTCGCGCGAGAACTCAGCGGTGTCCTCTGCATTCCACAACTGCGGTGTCCCACGTACCTCGTACGGTAGTGGTCTGGCCGTTTGGGTTTCACTCCCTGCGGAAGGCGATACCCAAGTTCGGCCTTCCCACCACGGCGGACAGTAAAGCCCCCCCCAGAGTCTGCACGCAGGACCCATTCGAAGTTGGCCCAGGCGCTCTGACAGAGCAAGCGTTCCGCAGAGATGCCTGCTCGTCCACTTTGCCTTAGGATGGCGACCACCTGACCGGCCGCCACGCTTGCGAAGCATGTCGTCGCCTCGTCTTCGCCGTTCGAGCGCGACGCCCTCCACACCATAAGCCGTGCACTGTCATAAGCCATAAGCCGTGTATTGCTCTGACCGGGGACGCCTTCCACGCGTCTCCCCCCATGCATTTCCTCACCAGGGTGATCCGTAGAGGGACTGGTTTGGCTGAAATGTCGTGTTTCTCCTCCGCCTTCGTGCCAATTGGCCTGGATGACATTGCAGGCGCCAACGTCACGTAACCCTTTCCCGGTGAGCGCCGTCACGTTCAGTGCCTGCATGTGGTCAGCCTTGCCAGGTGACTCGACCCGGAACCACTTGATCTGAGCCTCGATCCCATCAACCGTGGCACCACCGTAGACGACACCAATTGTGTGTGTGATCTGATGTGGCAAGGCACTGTCCAAGTGTCGCTGCCCATCCGTCCGGGTAGTCGTGATGAGCTTTACCTCCGCTGTGGTTTTGTGGAAGCTGTCGCCCATGAGTGACCTGTGCCAGGCTGCCCCAGTCGCCGCCTGACTTGTCACCCATCCCTCTCATGCGAGCCGTGGGGGGGGCATCACGTGCGAGTCTGGGAACCTATGAATACGTGGTTGGAGGTCGGGCGGGAGTAAGCGAGGCGAGGCGACGCGACTCCCAGTTCGAACTTGAGGGTGGCCGCGCGCAGGGCTGGGTTAATGATAGATAGATGGTGTGGCAGAGCTTATTCGCAAAACACGTGGGGAGAAATGGCAAAGCGTTGGGAGTAAGCGAGACGGCTTAACTTCCCGCACCCCCCACCTCCCACCTCCACGCGCCCTCTTCCCTCCACCACTCCATGCTCATTCTGAAGTCCTTAGAAGCCCCCACCTCCCAACAATCTGCGCCACACATCCCCGTCATGCCGCACATCCCAAGGCCCCGCGCCAAATCGCCACGACCATGCCAACGGGGCCGACAGGCGAAAGTCGAAAAGCATGAAAAACACGAGAAGAAAAGGAGAGCGAAAGGAGAGAGGAGGGGGGTGGAAGAGAGCCACAATGAGGCGGACGAGAAACAAGACAAGCGGAGGCAGGACCAAACGACAGCAAGACGAGCAGAAGGTGCTCCTCTGCACGAACCTCTCAGCCGCACCTCGCACTGACAGATCTGACTGTAAGCCTGGCTGGATGCCGACGTACTGGATCGTCAACGATTTCGCTGCTGTGTGGAATGGGGCAGCGAACAAACAAAAAACATAATACGCTCGTGTCCTCCGCCGCTGGGTCTTCCCCTCCCCACCCGCGCGCCTCCAAGTGCGGGACCATCTTCTGCACGACCTTGCTAAAGGCCTCTGCGCACAACGGTTCTCTATCGATCCCTACGCCTCCTACTCCAGCCTCTATCGATCCCTACGCCTCCTACTCCAGCCTCCCGTGTCCCCCTCCTTCTCCCTAAATGACTGTTTACGGCTGCTACTCTGAATGTCCTTATTATCATCGCCCCCGCTCCTCGTTCGCTTTCGGTTCCTCCCCCCACGTACGCCCCTCGGCGCCAGATATCCTCACCTGTCTTTGAAGCAGAAAAGAGACTGAGAGTCAAACAGAAAAAGAGACAGACAGACAGACAGCCAGCCAGCCAGACAGATAGACAGACAAACAAACAGAAAGATAGACAGGCAGACAGACAAACAGACACACACACACACAGACGGACGGACGGACGGACAGACAGACAGACAGACAGACAGGCAGGCAGGCAGGCAGGCAGAGAGAAAGAAAGAAACACGGAGAGAAGGAGAGAGAACTGCAGAAACCTTTTGACACAAATTGGTTGCGGAGCAACGCTGCAATAATCCAACTATCCAAGTCTCCTCACACTACTCCCCCACTTTCAAATGATCCGAAGGATCTTTACACCCCCTCACGGACGCGGCGAACACGCGGGAGGCAAAAGCCTTGGCCCTCCACCATGTCGTAGGAGATCGCCTCGATGCCGACACATTCCGTCGGCAAACAAACCCAACGAGCACCGGCAGGTCGAGCTTCGCGACAGTCGCGTTCAAATGAAGAGCCAACTCGCACAGCAAACAAACAGCTCGCAACACTCGCCAGCGGCCGAAACCACGGCGAAAAGAAGTCTGCTCCATACCCTGCATGTTGGGCTCAAGTCAGAAGCTTTTGGAGAGAAGAAAAAGACAAAAAAAAAAAAAAAAAAAAAAAAAAAAAAAAAAAAAAAAAAAAAAAAAAAAAAAAAAATGCACAAGGTCCGTGGACATCTAGTTTGCAGCCAAAATAACATCAATCGGTTCACCGCGAATCTTTACCTGGCCCGACTGAGGGATCCTCGATCGCCTCCAAACCTCGATGCAACCTGCTCCCAAACTTCGACGATCACAAAGCCCATCTTCTCGCAGCGCCGCCTCATATGTGTGCGGTCCAGTGGCTTGGTGAAGCCCGGATCACATTACCAGGGACGCGCTTGATCACACTCCTATTGGCCTTCACCTGGTCCTGGAGCCATAAGAACCTCGTGTCCACATGCCTGACAATGCCCAGTCCTTGGCGATTTGCAACACCCTCGGCAGCCACACTGTCACTGCGCAACTCTACTGGCGCCAAGGTCAGCTTGATCGGACACAGATGCCTGACGCCGAAATCGCATAGCATGGACTGCTGGCCAAGCGCTTGCGTCGTGCCCTTCAGCATGGCGCAGTGCTCCCTGTCTCCAATAGAAAGGGCCACATTGGTCTGACTCGTCGAAGCATACTTGACAAGGTGAGAACCCATCATCGGCACCATGCCTGTCCTCGATTTTCTCGTCGCAGCTTCCCCCGCCCAGTCAGCATCTACATGCGTGTCCACTCGGCCATGTAGAGGTTGCAACTAGCCCTTGCGGACCCAGCTCGGGCATACTTGAAGCATCTTCCGACACGATTTAGGCCCACCACGTCCGCTTCCGCCGGGGTCTTCATCTCGTTTGCCAGCGCCGAGGTCGCGCAGCTAAGTCGGGCCGATCTTGACCCAGATAAGCACCCCGCATGACCAACGACCGGCACAACGCAGCATCGTTCTCGTCGAGGGGTGGTGACTGTTCAGCTTCAAAACATCTTCCTGGCGCTCTCCTTGACCGAGGGCGTCTGGACTGGCCCGGCATCGCTCAGGTTCAAATCTCGAATGATCACGCCAGCGTGCCCAACGCCCGCCTCGACCCTCGCCCCACCAGCCGTCGGGCCCAAAACCTGAACCCGATTGAGATACACAATGCGCTGAAGCATCTCACAAGCTGAAGACAATCTCCCAGCCACCTTGAAGTCGCACTCGGTTAGCGAATCGTCGAACCACCCCTCGTCGCTGGCAAGCATCAGCACTCCGAGAGAAAGAGAATAATATTTTTTACCATGGCCACATCGCGCTCTGGATGCCACGAGATCGCCGGGATAGACCGGCCATGCTCGATGTTCTTGTCCTTGGGCAGCTCCACGCGGTCGCTCTGCCACACCTGGCTCACGCCCACTGCACCGCGCGTGACTTGATTGAGAAGCCCCCATCGGCTCAACTTAACCCTCTCGCCCTTCGGGCGAAAGCTCCATCCAGATCCGACGGAGCGCCTTGCTGTAGAAGCGCGCCCAGCTCACGGCGACGCACTGCGACGCTGCTCGCGCACCCTGCTCGCGAACAAGCTAACCGGTGCCATGAACGCCCCCAGCGGCGGCGCGCCCGAGAAAAGGCCCTTCGCAGGCGGAATCAGACCTTCAGCGCGTCGTCGCATCATCATCTCTCTCGCCACCAGCCTCGAATGGTATAGCGGCCGATCCTGGTCTCCCTTGTTGGTGTCTATCCACCGCACGTCGATCGGTCGCACTTCACGCCTGGGCACTTTGGCCCAGACGTCTCGACTCCTGCGCCACTCCAACTCTTCACTCCTCGCCTCTCTTTCACGCTGCGGGCCCAGAGAGCCACCGCGCGCGTCGCCCACGCACGCTTCCGCCCCCTGGTCGATATCCTCCGCGCGCGTCGAAGGTCCGCCCGGCAGTAAATCCAGCCAGGTCGCTCAGTGATTCTCGTAGCCGAAGCTCTTCGCGAAGTCCCTTCGGGATCGCATTCGCCAGCTGCTCGGGGTAACTCTGCGCGGCCCGTGCTCGCATGTCTCCAATCGAGTGCACATGTCGGCGCGGCTCTCCACCCCGCCAAGGACATTGGCACTCGCCCTCCAGGATATCAGCCAAGATTCTCAAATTCGCCATCCAGCCAGTCTCCTTGCGGACAAACGCCATGCGCCCATGGGGTCGATGGGCCTAAAGGACCTCGCACCCCTGAAATCCCAGGTAGAGCACGAACGAGCTGCACACGAGTCGATCCCACGATGAAGCCGCCCACGGCGTTCGCGAAGAAAGAGAGCACCTCGTCGACACCTTCGTTCGCGCACTTGCATGGAGAATTCCAGGTGCGTCTCGCCCTCTAAGACCTCCTGCGCCACGACCTCTGAACCCCGCTCGTCGCTACTCAGCGCTCGGAGCAAGCAGAAGATGGCACAGGGGGGCGATACCGTCGCAAGTAACGCATCTCCCCTATCCAATTGATCCCTACACTTGCTGCGCTGCCTCTCGTCTAGCAAGTCCCACCCAGTGGTGAAATCTGCCACGGGCCTGGCCGTTGGGCCAAGCCCAAGCACCCCCTGCTTGAACCGCTCGGGGGAGCAGATCTCCGCCAGGTCAACTCCGTTCATCTCGGTCAGCGTCTTCGCCACCTCCTTCAGCTCGTCGCGCGTCACGCCGCTGTCGCCGAGCAAATCCGCGGCGCTCACCAGCGCCAAAATCTCCACGTACTTCTGGCCCTTGACCACGAAGAAGCCCAGATCCACGTTGCTGCCAGCTGACTTCGCCGGCCGGGTCAGGTCCTCCATGTCACTGAACCCCCAGCCCTCACTGGACTTGGGGCTGCAGCCACTGCGCCTGAACTACTGGATGCTGCTCTAGCGCCTGCCTGCCGCAGCGCGTCCTCCGCCGGCTCGCCGCCCACGGCCACCCTGACCTGGCCCGGCTCCGCACTCGCTGCTCGCCCCCGACCCGGCGTCGATGCGGCTCGTGGCTGAACTGGTCGCTCTAGTCCTCGCGGCTCACTCGCAACTCGCACGCGAACTCCCATGGGCTCCACGCCCATCCTGCGCTGAACCACCCTGCCTTCAGCTGCTGCCCGAACTGGCGCAACTGGAACCGGCACTGGCCCGGCTCCTTCCGCGACCCTTCCGCGACCCTTCCGCCGCGCCCGCCGGCACATCCTGTCCCGCACCGCCTTCCTGCGCTTCTCCTCGAGCAGCCATGCAAAGACGATGCTCTGCTAGTCGAACGCGACCAGCCTCGTCCTTCAACATCTCCCCTGCGATTCGGTCTGGGCGCTCCTGCGAATGAGCGGCCCTCGCTGAACTACTGGCCATCAGACTGTCACAGCCCAGGCATCCAGGCGCCTGGCCGCATTTCTCGACGTCCCTCTCGAGCACGCAGCGCCCCCCGATTGCCACGTCGCGCCCCCCCTGTCTTTGAGTAGACAAATGCAGTGGCCCACGAGGGCTCGCCAGCTGCGCATCTGGCGAGACCTGCCACGGCAAACCCCTTCAGATGGCCCAAGTTATCGACTGCCCGCGCCTGGGCCCTGGGCGGCCTCTTGAAACCTTGAGATCTGAAAACACAGGCGTGCGCCATGATAAGCAATGCCCCAGTCCTCTGATGATACCCCACAAAGTGCCCAGGAAGCACATTGATTGCTGGGGCACTGCGAGCATCTCCTATACCAAGCGGCCGGTAGAACACGCGCTTCCCGAACTGCGCCATGAACTTCTTCCGAGCTCGCCCGCTGCCCCATGCCTCGCCGGGCAAGCCGTCGACGCCAATCCTGAACTTGGTGATCGCATCAGGACACAACTGAGGAGGCCAACGGGTGATCGGACGGCCCACAGCAATCTCAAATCCAATGGCACGCTGCAGAGCAGTCTGCCCCACGTCTCCGCTGCTCGCGTTCGCCCTCGGGGGGCTCCACCAACGCGCGCTCGATCTGCGCGCGCCCACTCAAACTACCGCGACATTCTCCACCGCGCGGACGCTCGCCTCGCCGCCGGACACGAACAGGGCGCGCCGGCGCCCCAGGTGATTGCGAATGCTCACGAGCCACTTGACCGCGAAAACCGACGCGGTCTTGTCCTTCACGGCAGTCGCTCCCGTCACTCTGCACGGGCGCTCAGCAACCACCAAGATGGGAATGGAATCTGGGCCATCGACGTTGCCCACCTTCTCATCGATGAACGCAAAGTCGACGCTGACGACTGCACCCTCACTCCCTCAACCCTCAGCTGCTCATGGGCGTTGGTCACCACAACCTGCCGCCACGACGCACTCCTCGCTCCACGAGCGAAAAGCAGCACGCCCACACGCGATGTGGTTCTCAATCCCCATCTGGCTCGGTCCTCTGACGATCTGCTTCACGCGCGGCGGCGCCACCTCGGGCGCCCGCAACCCCCCGGCCTTCGTCTGGCCCAACATCTGGCGCTAGTCCCAGGCCCCCAGCCAAGGCGCCAAACATTCCTGGTCTCACGGGCGAGCCTGCCGGAGAGGGCCCGGCCCAGTGCCACCACCGAACGGACGAGGACCACCTCCGCCCCCAGGCACACCTCCAAACCGGACTCCGCGCCCACCGCTCGCATCTCATTCCCCCCTCTCGACGCAGCCGACGCACGCAAGGGGGCGATGCCCTTCTCATACCAGACCACCTCCACCATCATCTCGTCGACGCGCCTAACGCCGTCCGAGTTGCCCGGCAGGATGCACCCACCTTCTCTCGTCAACCAGGTCGCCCCCCCAGCATCGAGCACTTAAATCGCCGACACCGACCGCTTATGAATATCTGCTTGGCGACCCTTCATCGCAATCGGATCGCCCCACTACGATTGGCCTTCGACTCCGACGCCGCCGCTGTCGGGGGCGATCTCGCCTGAGATCACCCCCGACAGCGCCGGGCCCCTCCTGGCCTTCCGCGTCGACGGGGAAGGTGGCCACGGCAGCTCCTGAATCAAATCTGAATCGATACCATCCTCCGCGGCCCATCTGAGCGCCCACGCCGCTGACCTCCAGGGCGCGCACCTCGAAGCTCCCAGCCTCGCGACCCCCAGTCCCAAAATGGCTCGCCGACGGCGGCAACGACGATCGGTCAGCAGTCCAATCTGGCTCTCCAGTGGGGACGCCGGCCTGACTTCCACTCTGGTCGCACGCGTTGGAGCCCCAGCTGCCACCTCTGCACTTGCCACCCTGGGTCTGACCTTCGCCGTTGCCTTTCTGATCCTCACCTTTGCCGACCCTTGCCGTTGCACTCGCCGCCCACGCACGCCGTCAGTCAGCCTCACGCGGCAGTCGCTCGACTCGTGCCCGGGCAAGCCGCGCCCCCAGCAAGTGGGACTCTGACCGTTGTCTCGACCTTTACATGTGGAATCCTGCCGCTTGCCTTTTCCACCGCGAGCTGCACCTTTGCCGCGCCCAGCTCCTTTGCGCGGCGAGTCCACACCCATCGGGTCGTTATTCTGCTTCCGCTTGAACGTTCCCTGCGATTGTCTCGACTCCAAGAGAATCCGGACCTCTTCCGTCACAGTCTCGGTCTAATCAAGCCGCGTCCTGGTCATCGCCAAATGCAACTCGAGCTCCTCTGGAACCGTCGTCTCCAACGCCGCCATCTTCACATCGTCGCCAACCTTCTTGTCCACACCGTCGGCTCTCGTCTTCTCGCACCGCCTCACGAGCTCATCCCATTCCTCGAGCTTCGCGCGTAATTCGGCCGGGGTAATACGCTGCGGCTTCACAACATGCTTGAGTAAGATCCGTTGCTTCCTCCTGACGATTGGTCCCATCCTCTACTCAAATTCCTCATTGCCTCGACGCCGTTGCCCATCTGAATGCGAATCACAATTGGAAAGCTCTCGCCTTCCGTGAATGTCTCTAGGGCAACGTACAACTGGCGAACCTTCTCCTTCCAGTCGGAAATCTCGTCGTTCTCGTCAGCCTCATCCCCGATCTGGTCCTCTAACGCTTCCATCGTGATCGGCGTCGGGTCTTGCGCCTGATCCTCAACCCACGGAGTCCTCTGAACTGCTCACCAAAGATCGTGGTGAGACGCACACGCCTTTCGGTACCACTCTACAAACTTGCCTTCGACATTATTGAATATCGCGGGCTTGCCAAGTCCCTTGGTATCCACTAGAGAACATCCACCTGACTTGTCATTCGCCGCGCTCGCCTCGGCCAACTTCTGGACTGCATCTCCTAGCTTCTGGGCCAGCCTCGGCAAGTCTCCTTGGACCTGTCGCTGGCGTTGAACCTGCTGCTGGAACTACTGCTGCTGCAATTGCAGCTGCTGGTTAAGTTTTTGTTCTAAACCATCAGCTGCTCCATTTGTCGCTGCAGGTTAGCGAAGACGGCACAGTCTTGCTCGTTCATTAGTGATGTAGTTGCGGTACTGGCCAAGATTGGCCCACAAATTCTTCAGCCTCTGCATCCTCTGGAACGTCGGTAGCAACCGCCTCCACGCCAGTGCCGCTCCTATCCAGCGCCTGCTGCGCCTGGCACGTCGGTCGAATTCGTCGTCGACCTCTATCGTCTCCCAATCGTCCTGTTTGCCGCCGAGGCCCGCGATGGCGAGCGGCGATCTGGGCCGCTCTCTCGACCCGAGGGTGCCGAAGGCAGGGAACCTCGCTCCGCTGCCATGCAGAAACCTGTTGACACAAATGGGCTGCGGAGCAACGCTGCAAGAATCTCAAGTCTCCAGATATCCTCACAATACTCTCCTACTCTGAGATGATCCGAGGAATCTTTACAAGACCAACAAAAACAAAAACAAAACAAAAGCGCTAACCAGACCAACTGGCAGGAGATGATCTAATATCTAAACGTGGTTAGGGCCATTCCGCGAGGGGCGAATCCGTAAACACGGGAAGACATGGCTTTCGGTCCGGGTAGGGTATCCAGCCAGGTAGTGCGTGAGAAGGACAGGGAGGCAGGGAGACACACAGAGAGGAGAGAGGGAGAGGGAGAAAGAGAGGGATAGCGAGAGAAAGAGAGAGAGAGAGAAGTACAGATAAAGCACAGAACAGACCGAGAGGGAGAGGAGGAGCGAGCGCGAGGGGGAGAGGGACAGGGAGACGGAGGGAGAGGGAGAGGGAGGGAGAGGGAGAGGGAGAGGGACAGGGACAGGAGCAGAGAGGGGGAGGGAAAGAGAGAGGCAGGAAAAGAGGGCAGGCACCGGAGCGGGAGCGCCCAGCTCGGCCTGCACACCCCGGCGGCGGGAGGCGGGGCCAAGGGAGAGGAAGAGAGGGACGAACCAGGAGAGCAGAAAAGGGTTTGGATGACGCAAGCCATGCACGAGACCGCTTCGAGGTACCCTTCCGCGCGTGCTGGAGCAACGGGTAGCGTGACGAAGATACGAAAGCGTGGGCTCGGAAGGGGCGACTGGGCGATGCGGCGGTGAGTCCTCAAAGACGGTGTGGTCGTAGAGGCTAGTGCAGTGGTAATTGATCTGCGCGTCCACCTGAGCGCTCGAGGGGAACTGGGAGAAGACCGCCAGCGGCGTAACCCCCTTCTCCTCAAGTTCCTCATCTAACCCAAATCGCACTACGCATTGCACGCCTGATCGTCACGCTGTATCTCCTCCTCGTCCTCCTCATCCTCCTCTCCCAAGATCCTTTCCATCCTATCTCCTCCTCCTCCTCCTCCTCCTCCTCCTCCTCCTCCTCCTCCTTACGACTCCTCCTCCTCCTCCTCCTCCTCCTCCTCCTCCTCCTCCTCCTCCTCCTCCTCCACCTCCTCTAGCTCCTCCTCCTCCTCCTCCTCCTCCTCCTCCGCCTCCTCCTCCTCCTCCACCTCATTCACCCCTCCCCCTCCTGCTAGCTGTTGTCCTCCTCCTTCTCCTCCTCCTCCTCCTCCTTTTCGTTCCCCCCCGCTCCCGCTAGTTGTTGTCCTCCTCGTCCTCTTCGACCTCATCCGACGTGCTCCTGCTGGTCCTTCCTCCTCCTCCTCCTCCTCCTCCTCCTCCTCCTCCTCCTCCTCATCCTCCTCATATCATCATCATTATCATTATCATCATCATCATCATCATCATCATCATCATCATCATCATCATCATCATCATCATCATCATCATCATCATCATCATCATCATCATCATCCTCATCCTCATCCTCATCCTCATCCTCATCATCATCATCATCATCATCATCCTCATCATCATCATCATCATCATCATCGTCATCATCATCATCATCATCTTCATTCTCATCATCATCAGCAGCATCATCATCCTCCTCATCATCATCATCACCATCATCATCATCATCAGCAGCATCATCATCAGCATCAAAATCGTCATCATCTTAATCATCATCCTCATATTCCTCCTCCTCATCCTCCTCCTCATATCCCACCTCCTCCTCCTGCTCCTTCGCCTCATCCTCCTCCTCCTCCTCCTCCTGCTTCTCCTCCTCCTCCTCCTCCTCCTCCTGCTCCTTCTCCTGCTCCTCCTCCTCATCCTCCTCCTCATCCTCCTCCCTCCTCCCTCCTTCTGCTCCTCCTTTTCATCCTCCAACACCAACCTCCTCCCTCCTTCTGCTCCTTTCCTCCACCTCCTCCCCCTACTTCCCCCACTTCTTCCAACGTGCAATAGTATGACCCGTGGTAAAGAAGTATCGTTTGCATGCTGATGGTTACTAGCATTAGTCTTAACATGATGAGTATCACTAGTGCTAGTAGTACAAATAATAAGTTCGCACATACACCTATTAATTTGTGTGACTAGTGTAATTAGAAATCATGCACGTAAAGAGTATTCAGATGACTGCTACTATTGTTCCTAGTATACGAGTACGAATAATACTATTAGAAACATTACGAACATTATAAGTGGCAGTGCTAGTAGTGATGCTGACATTGTTGTTAGCACGACGAAGAATATTACCAGCAGTGTTGGCAGTGTGGTTACGAGTGTTTATATGTGTAGCGTGTGTCTTAATGCTTGAAATAGTACTACGATTGGTATGTATGGTTTAAAAGAATGTACTATATGATCTTAACGATATGCATACTACGTTTATTAGTTTTATTCATACTAGTAAATCATAGTAAGTGGTAATATTAGTGGTTTGCCAAGTACTCATACTACGCGCATGATTGATATGATGATCCACCGTATGAGTAGAAGCGTTGCTATTACTATTCAGATGTGTATATCATCATTGGTGATCGTGTTCTTCGTATGGGAATTCGTTGTAGCATTCGTAATGTGATTGGTACTATGTGGCTTCACCGTTGTACTAATATCAGCACTGTAAGTTGCAGTTCTAGTAGTAGCATTAGTAGTAGTAGTAGTAATAGTAACAGTAGCAGTAACAATAGTACCATCTTCAATATGATTGTCCGCACTTTTATATCGAATCGTAATATGCAACTGAGTCCTCTTGTGCGTCGTAGTCGTGCGAGTCTGATCCGTCTTCTTGGTAATGTTAGTATGAGTGTTGTTGCTTGCAGTTGTAATTTTAACTCGTATTATCAGCATTACAATAGTGATACTGATGATACTACTACCTGCAGTAACAGTATGATTAGTAGTGCAACACTGAAGCTAGTATTACAAAGAGTATGCGTGGTAGCAGTAGTAGTCGTGATAGTATCATTAATACTAGTAGCAGTAGTAGTAGTAGCAGTAGTAATGGTAATAATAAAAATAATAGTAGTAGTGGTAGTCGCAATAGTGGTCGTAAGAGTAAAAGTGATACGAGTAGCTGTGGTCGTAGACGTAGTAGTAGTAGTAGTGGTAGTAGTGGTAGTAGTAGTAGTAGTAGTACTCATGGTATTAGCATTAGCAATACTACTATTATGAGTAGCATTATTGATGTTAGTATACGTTTTAGTATGCGTATTAACAGTCGCATGATCATTAATAGTTCTGCTGGTGTTGGTGTTATTATTCCTCTTCTCCGCCAGTAGGCTTCTGCAAAAGGCCCCAAGAGGCCGCCAGCAAGCTCCCGAAGGGCACCTCGAGCGATCCCGAGAAGCACCCGAGAGGCCTCCGAGCCACAACCCAGGCGCGGTAGCGAGCGAGTCACCAATACGGAGCGTCCTCCGAGTCTATCTGAGGCTAGTGGCCCTCGTCCCAGGCACGGTGGCAAGCTGCGCCGATGGCCACTGTATTACTGCAACGTGCTAGTTGTGTGTTGCAAACCTGACTGACGGTGTCGACGGCCGATAGGTCGAGTCGCGGTCCTACCCCACCTCCTCCTCCTCCTCCTCCTCCTCCTCCTCCTCCTCCTCCTCCTATTCCTCCTCCTGCTTCTTGCTGCTTCTTATGTTACGCATGTTTCTGTTGTTAGCCCTGCCCATCCTCATCCTCATCCTCATCCTCATCCTCATTTTCATCATCATCATCATCATCATCATCATCATCATCAGCATCATCATTGTCATTGTCATCGTCATCATCATCACAATCAGCTGCAGCAACAGCAACAACAATAACATCAACGACAATAACAAGAACTTCAACACCAACAATAACAACCACAACAACAACAGCAGAAGCAGCAACAACCACATAATTATCCTGACCATCATCATCATCAACAACAACATCATTATCGTCGTCATCATCATCACCATCAGCATCACCATCATCGTAATCATCATCAACAGCATCCGCATCATCATTCACCATCATGACCATCATCAGCATCGCTATCAACACCATCAGCATCAGCAGCAGCATCGTCATCATCATCAGCATCATCATAGTCATAATCACCATCGTCTGTGGCAACGGCGTCATCAAATACAGCATCAACATCAACATCGTCAACCACCATCACCGTCATCAACAAAACCACACTCATCAACAGCATGATCAGCAACAACAACGACAGAAGTATCAGAAGCACCATCATCATCATCAGCAACAGCATCAGCATCAGCATCATCATCATCATCCTCATCAACAACAGCATCATAGCCCCTGGATTTTTTCTGGAAACCATGGGTGTTTCAACATTGGCATCGCATGCAACGTAACGGAATTTTCGCGCCCGCGTGTCGAAATCGTTCGAACGTGTTTGCGCGCGTGTTGTGGCAATAATCATTTGCACGAGCCAAGACGAAGGGCACGCACGCGCGTCGTTGCCCGCGCACGCCGAAGTTGTTCAAAAACCTTCAGTTGTGCGGCCCAGAAACGCATCAAAAACAAATGGTTTTGCAATGTGAAGTCTCCAACACAATCTAAGATAATAATATGCTCAACGCAAGAAAGTTTCCAACATTATCATAAAATTCTGCCAAACGGGCCTCTTGCGACGCATGCCGAACTCAAGGCAAGCATCAGCGAATTCTCCGCTGCTTAAAGGAATTAAGATCTACCCCCCGCCCCCCCGGTTTAACGGCAAACCATTTTAATATTGCAATATGCATGCGATTCTGCCCCATCGCCCATGCTGAAAATATAATTGACTGCACACCGCCCCGGGCAAGCCGGCATCGCCCCCCCCCCCGTCCTGTGCAAAAAAACACGCACGCACAATCGCGCGTCCAAACCATCAAATGTCACCCAAAAAATGGGGCGAAGTGCATACGCGCGCGTCGTCGCGCGCGCATGCTGCAATCCATCAAAAACCGGAGTTCCCGTAGCAGTTGCAAAATCGAGCACCACGAAAACATGTGGAAACAAATAGTTTCGCAACAATGAAATTCAAATGAGGCTTGCACGCGCGCTCTTGCAAATTCTCGAGAAATCCATCTGCATTGTTCGACGTGTTCATAACATGGTGCCAAGCGGGCCCCTCGTGCGCGCGCGTCGAAATCGCTCGGCCGCCCTCGCGCGCGCGCGCGGTCGCATGAATTCCCTGCAAATGGCGAGCCGAAGCGAAAGCGCGCGCGTCGTTGCACGCGCGCCGAAATCTTGCTAAAAAACTGAGCGGGAATTCAGAAACGAGCCGAAAAAAAAGCACAAAAACAAATGGATGTGCAACATCAGATCTCAAAAAAATGATGCGAATGAGAAGAAGAACATGATTATGAAGACGAAGAAGAGGGGGGAGGAAAAAATGCGCTCGCGGTCTTGGAGATCCGTAAGAAAACCCACGCTTGTTCAGCATGTTCAGCAAGTTCTGTCAAACGGGTCTCTCGCGCCGCATGTCGAACTCATTCGAACGCCCTTGCGCGCGCGCTGGGGGAAGCGCGATCCGCGTCAAATAATGCCACGCGGGCAACCCGCGCGCGTCGGCCGCGCGCGCATGTCCAACTCCGTCAAACACCATCCATCCTCGACGCGAGGTCATCGCCATCGTCACCAGCAGGCGCGATCAACATCGGCGCCGCCATTGGCCTCGTGGTCGTCATCGCCACCATCGCCGCCATCATCGCCACCCCCATAATCGCGTCTACAGTTGTCGCCAGGACACAGCGCCCGCCCAAGTCGCCGTCTCGCACTGGAAGGCCTGCTAGCGGGCCGCTGCGCACGCGAGCACGCGCGGGCCAGCGCGACCGCAGAGATAC